AAATCTGGGGTCAGGGAAGGGCGTCCTTTTTAGTGTGTGATTCCCATGGGCTAGGCGCTGTCCAGAGTGTTCGGTTTTCATCCTATGGACTGCCTGCCATGAGACCGTTTCATAGAGAAGGACACATTTGAGGGAGACTGACTGACTTGCCTATGGTTCTGCAGCCAGCAATGAATCTGGGGCCACCTGAGCAGAGTTCTGGCCACCCTTCAGGCTCTTGGGCAAACTGGAAAGTTGCCTCTGTTCCCCGAGGCTGCACTCCTGCCTGATGCCCCAGCTCCTTCCACAAACAAAGGCATCGGGATGTGTGCCCTGCGCAGATGCCCCTGGAGACAGCCACCCAAGGATGAGAACGCCCTACGCAGGGACTCCCCATGTCTGACAGCTGGTCGCTCTGTGCCGTGCTGTCCCTAACCACAGCGCAGAAATTAGAGACAGGCCCAGGGGGCAGGGCCCACAGGAGAGGTGGGGCCGCTGGTAATGCCCAGTGATGAGCTCTTCGGGCCCCCGGGGCCACTTGCTGCCTCGAAGCTGCCAGAACAGCCCCCTCTCGCCAGTGTTATTTAACAGGGCCGCATCTCATTTTACAGATAGGCAAGCCGAGGCTGCCGGGGATGCGGGGGGAGACTTGGTCAAGGTCCCCAGGGATGTGGGGCTACTCACTGGCCGCCTCCATCATGCTGGCCCAGAAGTGGGGCTGCTTGTGCAGAGGGTCATCGTCGGGGCCGCTCAGCTTATAGACGTGCACGCAGGGTGGGGTGCCCACGCTGCTGTAGTGGCTGATGAACATGTCGAAGTTCTGTAGGCAGGATGGGGCGCTGAACACTGCATGATGTGTGTCCTTCCCGACCTCCCAGTCCGCTTTGGCTCCCTCTGCCCCCGTCACAACCCATTTACTGTCTCTGCCCTGTGTGCTCACTTGTTTAAACTTTAAAACTCTTCCACTCACATGAGGTGGGTGCTATTACCATCACCCCCATTTCACAGATAAGCAAACTGAGGCCAAGAGGAATCTGTCCCCTGGCCAGGGACCCCCCCTACCCCCGCCACTTCCCCGGTGGTAACTGACCGACCTAGGGTCATACCCAGATCCTTCTGATGCCAGAGCCTGCTCACGTTGCTGGTTCTACAGCCCACGGACTGCTACCAAATGCTGACCCTGGACTGGAAGTAGCCCTGGGCACATTCACTGCCTGACATTCTAGATCGTTCTGACAGGCTAAGGCTGGGTGCCCTAATGGTGCCATCAGGCACATCTAGGGAGTGCCCACCTGGCTCATGGAGCAGCTGTGGGAGAAGCCGGGTGTGGTAAGGCGCACGATCTCGCCCGCCGACTCATAGCTGACCACATAGAGGTGGTGCTCCAGGGGCGTGTCCTTTGTACCTTGGAAGTACACCAGCTTCGTCTCCTCGTTGACCCAGATCTGTGGGGGCACAGGGGCGCCTTGTGAAGCAGCCCCAGGCCGGGCCTTGGACTTCCCGTGCCTTTGCTCCCACGGTGGCTGAGGGAGGGGGCTGATGCGTAGCAGAGAGATCCAGGCCCTTCTCCCTGCCCCCACAGGGAGGGCCCAGAGTTATGTGCCCGGGACGTTTGTTCTCTCCTTAGCTGGCTTTAGCCCACCGGCCGGAAAAGAGCTAGCTGGGAGAGAAGTGCCTCGCAGACCTGGTGGGGCAGGAGTGGACAGCAATCTGAGCTCACTGCATGTCCTCTGGTAGGACTTGAAATCGGAACGCCAACCCCAGACAGCCCCTTCTGGGCATGCCCAGAGCTGCGAGTGCAGAGCTGAGGGCACAGTGGCCCAGGACAGAGGCTGAGGGAGGGGCTGGCCTGTGCCCGAGGGCCCATCAGCCCCCAGCCCTGGTCCCTAAGAGGTCAGCTCACCCTTCTGACCCAGGTGCTCAAGGCTAAGGAGCGGCACCTGCTTCCTGGGTGAAGCCCCGTCAGACCCCAGTGTGATGTTTAGTGATGAGGCCTCAGGAAGAACAGGAAGGAACCCTGCTCTGGGGACTGGAAGAGCCACTCTGCCTTTCCGGGGCCAACCTGGCAACATGGAGGTAAAACACTTAAAGAAGGAGTGTTCTCTGATGCAGCATTATGCTCCAGGGAACTGTTCCTGAGGGCTCTGCTCAAGGGGTGACTTTAAGTAGAAGGACAAACACGCTGTGTTCTCAATATTAAAAAAAGGCGATGACTTGAATGTCCAAAAAGACAAACTGGTTTCAAAATTATGGCACACTTCTCTGCAGCCACATAAAACCATATTTTCTAAAAAAACCCAACCCCTTCAAATCCCCTAAAACAGTGTCCTGTGGAGAGGCGCCCAGCTGGCTCAGTCGGAGCATGCAACTCCTGATCTTGGGGTCATGGGTTAGAGCTCAATGCTGGGCGCAAAGATGACTTAAGTAAATAAATCTTTGAAGAACAAAACAAAACCCCCCAATGGCCTGTGGAGATGTGTGCATACAAAAACGCTCTGCCGGGGTTTTCGCTGCGGTCGGCCACCTCCGAGGGGATGAGGCTTTGGGCGCCTGAGTGGGGTGAGGAGTGAGGGGATCCCCAATGTAGGGTTACTTAGAACAGTTCAGTTTGTACAACAAACACTGATGTATCCTTTGCTGCCGTCCTTTTAAAATAAATGCAGGTTTTCTAGAAACAGAGAATGTCGCTGGAAAACCCCCACCACACGCAGTCACTTGCCAGTGTTGTCACCAGGACCACGTGAGAAGGTGCACACCCCGAAGGAGGCGCTCCGGGGCACCTGGACCCCCCGCCCCGAGGCCCCCAAATAGTGCAGGCGGCTCAGAGCTGCACCCTGCCAGCACACACGGCCTCCGGAGGGGACGTGAGAAGCCAGTCTTTCCCTTTGTAACCTTTAACATGCTGCTGTGTTGTCAACGAGACTTCAGTTAAGGATAAAAATAAAAATTAAATTAAATGCTGCTGTGGCTTTTTAAATGTCTGGGTAAAAACCCAGGCGTGCAAGCGCCGCAAGGCCCACAGCGATGGAGAAGGGGGAGAACTTGGGCTGGCAGGTAGGCCAGACGCTATGCTGGGGGCTTTGGGTTACTTTAAAGCAGGGTCCTCATCAGGGCAGTCCCCCCCCCCTCCTGCCGGGGACATTTAGCAACATCTGGGGACATCTGTGGTTGTCACACCTGGGATGGATGGGCTGGGGAGGCTGCTGATGTCCCATAGTGCCCTGGAGGCCCTGAAGTGGGCAGTGCTGAGGGGGAGAGACTCTGCCATAAAGATGAACAGATCAGAGCTCCCTGAGGGTCCCATCTTACAGATGGGGAACGGAGCATAAGCACCCAGCACTGAGGGGCAGGGCTAGGCTGGGAGCCCAGGGGTGCCTCTTAGCAAGAATCAACCACAGCAAAGGAAGAGGCAACCTTTAACCTTTTGGTACCCGACCCTCCGACTCGCCTTACAAATAGGCGATGAAATGTGAAATCTTACACCTTGCTTCTGTTCCAACAATTTATAGGGACGTCTTTCCAAGTCAGTGACCGGGTATCCGTCAGGTGTGGTTATGCTATCATCAACGCCCGTATCTGTGCCACCTGTACGTACCGGTATCACTCCTCTCAGGCTCACTCAAGTGTGTACTGACCACTACTTCCCACTGTGTGAACAGCTCTATAATGCACGCATGCGTGCTAACATCTCTAATGTCTGTCTTTGGTCCAGGAGGCATTTATGCTGGTGTGAGGTAGGGATCCAGGAAGTCTGATTAAGAGCTCTCTCCATAAAATTTGGAATTTTGTAGAACTGGACCCTGGTGAAGAAGCTTTGGTCAGAGGCAAGTCTTGCCACGTTTTTATGATGGTGCATCTGGGTGAGTGGAAGGTACACCACTTGTCTCTGCAGCTGCATCTTTGTCCCCAAACCTCCCGGGGACAGACGTTGGGGCAGGCCCCGGTTGGAAGCTGCAGGAAAATCCCACCGTAGGCAAAGTGTCCCGTAAACTGCTCTCCCAGGGAGAGGTGGTTTCATAAGCGGGAGAAGGCTAACAGAATGCAACAGGTGCACAGAGCAGCGCCCACATCCCGGACTGGGCTTGTCTCCAGCTGGCCAGAACCAGAGCCCTGTGGCCCTGGGCATGCTGGAGCAGTGGATGGAGCTGAGTGGAGCAGAGCAGGAGGCAGGCGCAGCCAGGAGGGAAGAGAGAAGCCACAGGCACATGGGGTCTGCAAAGAAGCTGGAGCGAGCGTACGCACGTGTCTGGGCACGTGTGTGCATACAGGCGTGCGTGCAGGGCGGGTGGGGAGGGTTGCAAAGAGATTCTGGTACCTTGGAGCCGTGCCTTGCCAAAACCTCCCATTCACCGCTAGTCAGCGCGATCTCCTCCTTGATGGGGCATTTAAATTCATCTGGAAGTAAGGAAAGGAAGAGGTGAAGGGGGCCCCAGGCAGCTGTGAAGGGGACTCAAAGGCCCTGAGGCCAAATTCCACCTGAGCGAACTTGTCACAGAGCCCTGCGCGAGCAGGGCCAGGTGGGAGACGAGAGTGAGCTGGCTGAGCCTCAGACACGGGATGGAGTGGGGACCCCCCACACGGGCCACGGGGCCTGTGCACAGGTTCCGGCATCTCCCAGGGAGAGCCGGACAGCTGCGTCTGTATTGGACGCACTGATCTTAGAACCCTGCAGAGGCCAAACCATCAACTTCCGGGCTCGCGACCTGTGACCTCTTAGCACATGTTCGTATTCTGGAGAACCAGATCTGGGTTAAAACGCTTTGGCTGAGGCAAAGGCTCGGCTGAGTTTTTATGACAGATTTTTTGGATTTTGGGGGGCAGATCTCACTTTTGAATTTCCGCTAGGTAAATAACTACGGGATGCCCGCTGGCGTGTGTTACAAATTTATTGAGACAGTTTACGAGTGATGGCTGTTTTGTTCTGGGCACAGCTGAATCTGGGATCCTCCTGTGTCCCTCACTCACATGGAGGCAGAACACGGCCGATCGGTCGCTCATTTGGATCTTTTTTTTTTTTTTTTTTTAACATGGAATGCCTCGTAAATTTGCATGTCGACACAGAGGCCCCGCTAATCTTCTCTGTATCCTTCCAGTTCTAATGTGTGTGCTGCTGAGGACAGCACCCATTCAAATCTTTATGGTGCCGTTCTCGGTCATGCCTACAGAAAGTGCTGGGTCGGGGGCACAACCGCACGTGGCCACCATTAACAGCCCTGCTTCTGCTCCATTCTCCTGCCCCTCCAGGAGGACCCGGTGCGCCCAGCGGCCGGCCGGCCATGCACTCCCCCCTTGCAGCCACGTTCCCACAGCCTTCCCGGTGCAAGCCCGCACCTCTCATGGGCGGGGCTGCCAACCACACCCACTCGGCCCTCTCTGGAGCGGCCCTCCACTGTGAAGGACACCTCGCGTGGCCTGGACACACTGCCCCTGCCAGTGCTGTCCCCACTTCTCGCTGGTCCTCCAGGCTCCCGGCCCTCCTCCCCCTCCCCCAGGCCCGCTGATGGCGCCTTTAAAGAACTCATGCCTTTTGGTCCAAAGTGACCAAGGTCTCGCCTTCTCGGCCGTCCAACTGTCGCCTAGCAAGCCTGAGCCACATGACAGGAAGCGCAAGCTGGAGGGCAGGCGGGCCCACGCAGCGTGGACGGGAAACCTGGTGCACCCACCACGTAGGCTGGAGGGCCCCCGGGGCACCTGCCGTGAGCTCCACCCAGTGACCACCAGAGCCTGGAACGAAGATGTGCCAAGTGAGGTCTCCTGAGGTGAGATTAGGTGGTGGTGGCTAAGTCAGACAGACAGACAAACGGGAGAGCACAACACCAAGACAGCCACAGAAAACCCACCTCAGAGATGGCCTAGCCAGCCCATGCTGACTGCGTTACACCCCAGGTGACAGCGGTGACAACACCCCGAGACGGCAGTCGCTCCTCTGTCCCCATCTTACTTGACCCCCATCAGCTCGTGGCTTCGCCTGTTCCTGACCCCCGGCTTGGCTCCCCTGGACACCTTGAGCTCTCCGGTCTCCATGCCCTGTGTAGCACTGCCTCAGGCTTGTTTGTGGGCTGCCTCTGAACTGTGAGGCTCCCCTGGGGTGATCTGGCCCCGGGGGACACTGGGCGATGTCTGGGGACATCTAGGGCTGTCACGATCGCGGGTGCTCCTGGCACTGAGTGGGTGGGGGTCAGGGGCACACTGCTCAGCCCCGCAGAGCCCGGGACGCCCCCACTGAGGACAAGCCGGCTCGGGGTCCGCAGAGTTGTGGGGAGAGCCCGAGGGGCCCTGGGGTGGCTCTCAGCCCACACTGCTTCCCCGCCCAGACCCAGCCTGTGCTGCTCCCTCCTGTCCTGAGGCTGAGAGGCCATCTGTGAGGACACCCACACGCCCACTGCAGATGTGTTCTGCTCCCTGGCACTCTGGGCACGCAGACCTGCCCACACAGCACAGCCACTCAGGGGCACTGCAATGTGAATACATCCAAACCCCAAATGGACGTTTCTCTCCTAAAACTGCCCCTCCCATAGTCTTTCTTTCTCACACTGACCATCCAAAAACCCTCCATGCACCTGTGCCTTTCCTCTTTCTCTCTCCGACCCTACATCCAATCCACCAGGACACCGTGGTGACTCGGATGTCAAAGTTCATCCAGAATCAAATCCACCTGCGTTAGCCCAGCCTACTGCCATGACCCATCCCTGTCACCTCTCCTTGCCCCTCAGGTTGTACTCCACACAGCAACCCTAGGAATGGCTTTAAAATGATATAAGATCAATGGTAAAAGCCCAAGTCCTTCCTGAGGCCCCAACACCCCACACGACCTGCCTCATCCCCTCTGCCCACCCCTCCTCCATCTCTCCCCCTCACTCACTCTGCTCCAGCCACAAGGGCTTCCTCACTGCTCTTCCAACACACCAGGCAGCTACTGCCCCAAGACCTTTGCACAAGCTGTGCCCTCAACCTGGAATCTGTGGGGCTGCCTCTGCCACCTGTTCCAGATCTCTGCTTCATAACACGTTATCCAGAGATGATCCCTGACCTCCCATGCTAGAAGGAAGGCCCCTCACTCTCTAGCCTCTTATCCTGCTGCATCTGCCACCATGAACATTACTCTCGATTGTTTTTGTATTACTGTCCATCTCTTCCACTAGAGAGTTCCATAAGAGCAGGGATTTTCCTTTCTCTTTTTATAATTATACTCCTGGCACCTAGAGCAGGGGTTGGCCACTTTTTCTATAAAGGACCAGATAGCCAATATTCTCAGCTTTGCAAGATATATGTCACACCACCGTCACACTACTCAACTCTGTCATTGTGGCATGAAATCAGCCACAGACACTCCATAAATGAATGAGAGTGACCATGTGCCAATAAAACTTTATTTATAAAAACAGGTGGTGGGCCAGATTTGATCCGTGGCCGTGGTGTGCCAACCCCTGGGGTGAGACAGGCCTGGCGCATAGTAAGCGTTATACATAGATACCACTGACTGAATGAACAGTTGGCTCTAATAACCCCTGCCAGGCCATGAAGGATGTTCGGGAAAGGCTGGCTTTTTCTTGATCCTGCCCCTCCCTCATGGGACTGGTCACAGGGCGGGGCCGGTGAGTAAGTAATGCACTGAACCACAGATGGCTGACTGGGTGAGCAGTGGTGTTAGTCAGGCTTTGCTCACCTTCCCCAGGGCTGAGAGGCTCACTCCAGTCGTAGCCCCTGGGCTTTAAGATGGTGGTGACTTTGTACAAGTGGCAGAAGCCAGTCTTGCACTCGTTGGCACGGATGAAGCAGAGCTCATCCTCTCCCTCTGACTGGGGGAACGGATAGAAGATATCATGAACCTGTCCGGGAAGAGGAGAGAAGAGGCATCAGAAGGTGGGGCTCTGACAGCTGGCTGGACTCAAGTGGAGGATAAACCCAGCCCCCCAGGGCTTCCCGCCCTCCCTGGCCCTGCTCCGCTGGGGATCTGGGTACCCAGGCGGTGCACACCCGGCAGCTCCCCACTCTTACGTTGATCCACACATCGGTGACTTCCTCATACACGACATGTGGCTGGACGTTCCTGGGCACTGCTCTGGCGAAGGCCATCCGCTCCTCCTCATTCTCGGTAGTGGGGATGAACAGGGCTGGGGGTAGCAGGACGAGCTGGAGCCGCTGCTGGGGCCGATCCAGAAACATAGCCCAGGCGCTGAGAAAGCAAGAGGAGAGAGAAGCTGAAGGCCTCAGGGCCCAGTGGGGGGAAGCTGGGTGACAACACCTCTCTTCCCAAACTTACGTGGGACCAGAACCATTCTTCCTTTGCCAACATTGTCTACACTTGACCAAGTAAGCCCATAGCACACAAAGGTTTCCTGGCCAGCACATGCCCTCAGGAGAGCCCAGAGGGGTGACAGACATCTGTAACCCAACTATTTTGGAAACATCTTGTATCATTAGACCTTAGAGCGGCATTTCAAAAACGTTTGCGATTTCTGCCACATACACGATTCTTCACTTCCTGTTTTGCTCTGTACGAACAATGTTCTTTCTTTATCTTTGGGGGAAATAAATTGTTTATTCTGTTGAACAACATGAGTTCTTAAGAATTTGGGATGGAAGCATAAAGCAACTTAAAAAAAAAAAAAAAATCCTGTTGGTGGTGGAGGCGGGGTGCCCAGCAGGCTCAGTCGGGGAGAGTGCAACTCTTCATCTCAGGGTCATGAGTTTGAGACCCACACTAGTGTAGAGATTACTTAAAAAAAAAAAAAAAAAAAATCCTGTTTGGGCGCTCTTTTGTCATTATGTTCTGTCCTCAAAACAACTGCTTTGAAACAGAACTTTTAAAATCTGAAAAAAAAACTGTCTGTAGCTTTTCTAACTGTAAATGGACAACGTGTTTGAGGCCTGTTAGTACTGTAGGTGGTTAAACTGGATCTCCACATGGAGACAACAATGGAGACCAAACCAGCGAGTGACGCCACAGGGACGTGCGTGTCCGCCGGAGCCTGTGACCCACCAAAGGCACGGTGCCTCCGTCCAGGTTCTGGGATGAGTGTGTGGAGCTGGAAGAGCAAACTCTGTCTAGCCAAGAGCCAGCAGGTAGACAGCTCCGCTTTGTGGGCCACACAGTTTCTCTGGGCTGGCCCTGCCGACCTAGCGTGAAAGCCGCTACAGACGATCCATACACAAAGAGTGTGACCATGTGCCCATAAAACCTGATTTATGGACACTGAAACGTGGCGTTCAGCTCACTTTCACGTGTGATGAAATACTCTCCTCCTTTAGAATTTTTTTTTTTTTTTACCCCTGATCATTCAGAAGCATGAAAGCTGTTCTCGGCTCATGGGCTGAAAGAAAACAGGCGTCAGGCCAGATCTGGCTGTGGGCAGCAGACTGGGGCCCCGTTTAGAGAGGTGTGTCCTCACCGTGGCAGGAGGGTTACCACGTGAGTGACAAGGAGTGACAAGGAGAGCCCTCCGTGTCCTGCTGACACTCACTACTTGCCGTCCCGGGTCCACCCGGCCCTGGCGATGTACTCCACCTTGGGGAAGAGCGCGCTGAAGGGCTGCACCAGCTCCTTCTCTTGTGTCGCCACGATCTAAAGGGAAAGCAGACTCGGGTCACACTCTGGCCTGACCACATGCTGCCCAGGAGGAGACAGGCGCTTCTGCAGCGGACACAGTGTCCCCCAAACCCCTATGTCGGAGTCCTGACTCCTGGTGCCTCCAAATGGGGCCGGATTTGGGGACAGGGTGGTTGCCGGTGTCATCAGTTAAGGTGGTACTGGAATAGGGTGGTCCCAATCCAAAAAAAGGGGTGGTCGCCTTATGAAGCGTGGACTCCAGGGCCACAGGGGCAGAGATGCCTTGTGGCAAAGTGCAGGGAGAAGGCAGCCATCTACAAAGCAAGGAGAGGGGCCAGGAACAGATTCTCCTTCATGGCCTCGGAAGGAGCCAGCCCTGCCCACACCTTCTTATCACGCTTCCAGCCTCCCGACCTGGGAGACGATACACTTCTGTTGTTTAAGCCCCCAGGACGTGGTGCTTGGTTAAGACAGCTTGTGGGCTGGAACCCGAGGGCTCTGGTCTGGACTGTCACTGCAGAGCCGGGTGGCCCTGGGCAACACGACTTGTGGTCGCTGCAGCTTCCTGGGGGG